CTGACAATGACACATGTAACTGTGAACTGTTCAAAATTATGTGAATGATGGAGCATGAACTTCTACTCACTTGGAAATGCAGCTTCATGGAATTTTACAATTGGTTTTGGGCAATCTCTGCCTTTGACTGTAACTTCTTTGCTTCTTCGATACTGTTCAATCTCTTGCTGAAATTGAAAGAGGAAATGTAAAAAAACACGACCATGTTCAATACACAAACACACAAAAAACACAGAAACAGCTACAAGCAAGTCTTACAAGTGGTCTGCGTGTGGCATCAGGATGTTCCTGGTAGAAGTTCTTTTGAAACTTTGGAAGCTCGTCAAGGTTCCAGTGCTTTTTCCGCAGCCTCTCACCAGGGTTGCCAAACTTGCCTGGAGGAGGTCCACCCCTATTGCCTCCTCCGCCACCACCAAAGCGAGGAGGTCCTCCACCATACCTTGTGTAGAAGAGTGGGACACATAACGTTAAGAATGGCCAGATATTGTGCCCATTAAAAGGGGCAATCCACAAATTTCTTACACAAAATCAATTAACTAGTCGTGATTAGTACAACAAAGCTTGTGTCCTTGGAGGCCTCTGTATGATTAGAAAGACGACATAACTTGATTATTGTGAAGTACAGGGCAGTATACGGCGTTGGGTTGTATCTTAATGTTTAGGATTTAAAGTAAGAATTTCTTGCCTCTGTACACTGATTCAGATTTTTCTTTCTTTATTCCTTAAAAAGATCTGTCTATTGTAAGTTCCCCAACGTTATATACAGGCAATACTAAATCAGATATATACACAAATTCCCTCTATTCCCTGTTTTCTAACACTATATAACTCAATTGCACACAAGGGGAGGGGGCTTTAAATTACTTAGCATGTTTTAAGACAGATTAATCAACATTTAAGGAGGACACAAATCTTCTAAACACAAATTGTTTATGGCATGGAAGCAAAACTTGGAGCTGTTTGTATTACAAACACTTAGTGCTGCACGATTAATCTAATCGCAATCGCGATGTCAGGCTGTGCGATTACGTAACCGCATAAAAGGCTGCAATTTGCGATTTAATGTGGGCTAAATAAATGTTAACGTGTGTGCCTGTGAACGTGACTGCCTCTCCTGTAGCGTGTGGAGTTTGTTGACATCACGCCCACAAGCTATCCTCGTGCGTGCAGCCGGCGTGCAGCAGTGACCAACACAGATGCTGGAGAGGAGCATGAGCTCGACCATGAACAGGCTGAGTTGGTGGCGAAAAAAACGTCTGTTATATGGCGATACTTTGGATTCAGGTACGGCGACAGTGAACAGAAAGACATGCTGTGTAAGTGTAAAAGTTAAAGTCGCCACGTCCCGCGGCAACACGACCAATCTATATCAGCACTCGAGAAGGGACGTGGCGACTTCAACTTTTAAACTTTTACACAGCACGTCTTTCTGTCCAACGTCGCCATACCTGAAAGACGTGCTGTGTAAAAGTTTAAAAGTTAAAGTCGCCACGTCCCGCGACATCACGACCAATCTATATCAACACTTGAGACAGCACAGGGAAAAGTAGTAAGAGTGCATGCGAGAGAAAGCCGAGCCATGTAACGTTAAAGACAAACAGACAACTGAAAGCCGCCAGAGCCTCATAAAACAACATCCAAGCACAGTTAAGCAAACATTTGTAAGTGTCACGGGGAAATCATAGACTCCATAACAAATGAAAAATTGAGCAATTTTGCTCGGTTTCGGCCCACCTGACATGCTGCTGTGTTGTGCTATGACGCTGGAATTTGTCATTTATGTGACAATGCCTGAACTCTACATATGCTCGCTTTTTTTTTTGTTCTGTTTTTTGCTGCGCTGCTTTGTGATCAGCTTGTTTGACTGTGCTCAGTCTGTTGATGGTCATTGACACACTGTCTGTCCATAACAATAACTATGTCAGGTCAGTGCCCCCCTAATATAATGTAGGGGAAACACTGAATCAAGCAAAAAGACTCATGATACCATTTATTTATTACATTTTATTGTAATTATATTGTAATCGCAATCGCAAATCGCAATATTGTCCACCATAATCGGAATGGCACATTTTTCCCAAATCGTGCAGCACTACAAACACTGAGCATCTCTGGCGTCCTTTCATAAGAACAGTTTCGTTACAACGTGTTAATGTAACCACATCCAATACTGCAAATATAAATTGATAGCATTTGCATTTTGCTCTATTCATGTCTAAATTTGCACCATTAAGTGACATTTAATGATTATTACTGAATTAAGATTGGCGTGACCTGTTTATACACGAGAAAACGAGCACATTAAGGGGCTGCAGGAAAAGACACTCTTAATGGAAAATGACTCGTTAAAATAAATTGCGACACAAATCTTCATCTAGGATGTGCATCCGCAAGAAGAGACACCACTGCGTCACATGACAACATGCAGGCTGCTGTGCTGCTAACGTTAACGGCTCAGCCGCCGACACAGAGCCGTCGTTAGCTGCCATTTTACCTCCAACCGGCAGGAAAACGGTGAATATTACAGATACGTCAGCGCAGGGTCGCTTGACCGCATAAAAATGTGTATCACATGTCATACACGATATAGCAACATAGCAGCCGGTGGCGACAAAACATACATGACAAATGTCTTGTTTTGAGGATGTAGCCGTGACAGCCGTGCCGCTAGCAACCGTATGCTAAGCTGTTCATCTCGGCTAACTGTCAACGTTAAAACACGCAGAGCAGGCATTTGACTCACCCTCTGTCTCTGCCGCGATCTCTGTCCGAAAATCCAGGCATTATGCAGCAGACTACTGTGGTAGAAGCAGATTACAAAACAGAATATCAATCTAAGAGCTACAGTCGGCACAGACAAAACAAAAAGAAAATGCCGGCAGACAAAAGTCTGTCTGTAGAGACGGATGTGAGGTCATACGAGGCGGATAACATTGTATCAATGCGCGTCAAACAGTGGCACACCCCTGGCACTATTTTATTTCAACACTGCTGAATATGTGATGTATCTAGAAACAGTTTTGCCTCTGTTATTACAACGTCCCCACACTTAACAATATTGAAGATGTATTTCGATATATTGTTAATAAAATCACCTCAGAATTTCATTTTTGAAATGAAAATGTACTGTTTGATGTCTACAATAATAAAAGAAGTACAGAATAACATCCTATCATTTCAAGCAAAGTATTATAACCATAAATCAAAATTTGGCCACTATAAACCTTTTTTTCTATTTGAAAATTAAATAAAAACGGTGCAACATCAAGACAATTTTTAAATTTAAAAAATAAGAAAGCTGCAAAAACCATAAAGCTGTACCCCTGGCTCTGATGTTGTTTTGTCGATACTTCTTTGTATGTTTTCTCCATTGTCGAGAAAAAAAAAGAAAAAAGAAAAAAAAAAAGATTATTAATAAATAAATAAATGAATAAATAAAATAGAATAATACTTACTTTTGTCAAAATCAAGCTATTTAAACCATAGATTGATGAAACAAAATGCACCAATTGTTCATAAAAAAAAATCACCAGAAAATTAAGTGTTTGTTGCTCAAAACTTTCTTGCAAAGGACCCCCAAACCCCCATTTCATATGTTTGCCCCAAATGTTGAAACAAAAGCTATGCCGTTGATGTGGAAAAAGGTGGTAGTGACGACCAGCCTTGTATGTGTTTAAATTCACAAATTTTATGTGACAACTGTGCAAGCTGTAAGAAGAGAGTAATGAATACACAATATAAACAGGCCAAGAGGGAGATAAACACTTTTATGTTGTATCCTGAGAATAATATTTGAAGCTCAGTTGGGTGCAATAGTTTCATTAAAGCTTCAGTATTAAGGATTAGAGGGATATGCAAGCAAAAATGGTCATTATTGTATAATCACCTTAAACCAAGAATTGTTGTTCTTTTGGTACCTTATAAGTTTATATCAACACATGGAGCAGGTCCTCTTACACACACCCTGCCACATTGTTCCTACGGAATTCCAAAAATGGAAAAAAAACAAAAACTACATCTAGATAAGCCATTTGCATTTTTGCATTGGCCACCATAGTTCTTCAACACACTTGGTACATGGTTTCAAGGTTTCAGTTCTGCAACCTCACCACTAGATGCCTCTAAATCCTACAAAGTAGATTTATAAATGTCCTCTACAGTTATACAGCTCTTTCATTGTTGTCTCTAGAGTCATGCTTTTGGACCCATTTGTTTTTTCTACTTGTTTCTTTAGTGACCTGAATTTCTCCAAAACTACTGAACAGATTTAAGTAAGAATTGCATAAAATAGGCCACAGCCAATGAACAATTGCAAAGCTACTTAGTACAGATGAAACTGGACATTTTTTAAAAATTTTTATTTGGTTTTGATAGCCTATTTGATATCATAGACCTACTGTTTCCTGTAATCGGATGCCAAAATCTTCTAGATGTGAACACCAACAACCAAATTAGGATCACTTTGAAATAGTACTGCAGATTGTTATGGTATTCCGTCTGTAGGTGGCATATCCCACGTGTAAGGGATTTTTAAAAAAAAAAAAAAAAAATCATGGGGCAAGGGGCATCAACTTTGTGTGTGTGTGTGTGTGTGTGTGTGTGTGTGTGTGTGTGCAAGTGTGTGTGTGCAAAAGCTTGAAGCTTCAATGCCCTGTGCATTTAACATTATTGGATTAACACTGAAAGAGAATACTTACCATTATAAAAGGTTTTACCTGCTTTTGTCAGGTGTAGTCATCACACAATGTTTTTTAAGACAGTGTTCCTGAACACACATGTTGCTGTTGCATTGATTCTGGGTTGGGTTGCTGAGTGGGATGCATTTTTATTGTATGATTTTAAATACCATTATAACATTATTGATCAAGATTATGCTGTGACAACTGATCCAGTGATACCTGAGAGAAAAAAAACAGGGTTAAGCTTAAAAATATATAGCTTTTATAATTTGAATAAATAATACATCATGTGATGTCTTGAGAGAAAGAGGCCAACATTATTTAAGTATGGTATAGTTTGTTTTAGCAGTTATAACATGGGGACCATTCATAGTAAACATACAGAATGCTTCAAAATAGCGTAAACCTGTCAGTGTGTGCGACGCAGGAAGCAAGCGCCTGTCATCTGGTGTCTGTGTTTTATGTGCTTGGCAACCCTGCACACTAGCATCCTCACAAGGTATTAAAACAATGTTGCCAGTGAACACAACCTAGTCAGCAGTGATGTTTGACAAAGCAAATTTGTAGTTAATAAACAGATTTAGTCGTAGATAAGGTTGTGGTGTGATTACCCGCAAACTTGCTGAGATAAAGGAACAAATAAGCAACATCACACAACAAAGTCCAGTCAGATGATCAGGTTTTGTAACAATCTCAGTGTAACAATATCATGTAAACATTCATTTGAGAGAGAAGTGCACCAATGTAACATAATTAATCAGAACAGTAACAGACTGGATGTATTTAGTAAATTCTTCTGCCACATAATGTTTTAAGATATTCCAGACTTCCTTCTTCATCTTGAGGCTTTTCTATCACAAAACAGTCTTCATTTGCTTCATGTTAAATATGTGGGACATGCTGGTACCTGCAGAGACAGACAAAAAAATCATTTAAAATGATAAAACAAAAATATTTGTTTTATTCTATACATAAAATATGCAAGCTATTTTCTTAGAAATTGGCAACAAATGAGATCATTTAAAAATAAAATCCATTTATTTTAACAAAGGAGTTGTCTGGCCATTAATCTAGTCTTCCTTTATTCCTCATATGTTAGTTTTCTTGTGCAGTACTACAAAAACAACATGACTAAAATGAAGATACACTAGCCAGAGGGAATATATTTATGCATATGCAGAGCTAGAATCAAAACCTGCAGCACGTAAGAAATTACCTCCTGTGCATATGATAGAGAAATGCTACAACACCAGGCATTTAAAAAAGAAACCGTAGAAATAATCTAAATCACTTCTATTCACAGTGACAGAGGAATGAATATGGTTACTTTAGAAGCCTTTAGTTTAACTTAAGACCTTGAAGAGCAGCCTCTGTTGTGATGTGACACAGAAAAAGAAATCATTCTCAAATGTCCTACAATAACAGTTTTGAAACGTACCTCTCTGTGGTCAGCTGTGTCCCATCCGCCCTTTCCCAGTTCCTTCAGACTTCTCAAAGTGCTTACATTTCATAGGCTTGTGTTCTGTGTTTCAAAGGGAGAGACATTTCAATCACCCAAGTCAATATTTACTCTATTAATTTGCTGAATTTTATATTTTATAGCATTTTACAATTGCTTTGGCTCACTTTCACAACAGTTTCAAGGTCCCAAACACTGAACATTTCATGCAAAGAGCCAAACTGACTGCTGTCTTTACATACAAAAGCAAAACACTAAATCACATGTTCAGAGCACAGACTAATGACACCATGGTAGTCAGTACTTGTTACTAACCATGCACACAATAGCTGAATCAGTATCAACATGTGTTTCCAGGCATTTCTCCTCATTTCAGACATTTTGAACATAATCACTCACTACTTCACCGGGGGTGTCATTTATAAAACAGTGAGTAGGATCCATACTAAGCATGCATGTAGGGACAAAAGCCAAAGATGCTGCCACCAAAAAATATTTGACAATATCTACAATGCACATGTTTCTGCTGCACATGTGAACACAGAGTGAAAGTATTTTTGTTGGCTTCATTGTCTCATTTTCGCTTGATTTAAAAACCACAGAGGGAAGTGCAGTCCACTATAATAAACCCCTGAGGCACAGGTGGAACTGCACATTGGCAGTGTGACCACCTGTGAAGGACACGCACCGCAGCCTACTTCCCACTTTGACTAGTGACATCATAGATATCTATTTAGGATTAAAAATGACACAAATCGTTTGTTAATTGCTGTTGTGTTGTCTGCAATGCTTAGCTTGCTGAAATGTAGGTGTGTTTCCTGTTTTGTTTGTTAAATGGGTTCTGTATGCGACATTCAGAGCCTTAACATTGCAGTAAACAACTATTTGCTATGTAAAGATACACTGATTAATCACAACTTTAAAGCCACTAACAGGTGCAGGGCAGTGCTTAATTTGTAAAATTAGAAGTAGGGGAACACATTGGGCCTCTGAGAGAGCAGTGTTCCCCCACTCCCAAAAGTGGGGGAACACTTTTTTAAGCGGCACCCGAGCCGCCTCACTGCGCAACTCCAAATGGAATGGTTGTGACATCTAGTGTTGTCACGGTACCAAAATTGGGACCCACTGTATGATACCAGTGAAAGTATCACTGTTCTGAGTAGTATCACGATAGCACAGCAATAATGAGGCAGATGTGCCTTTTGTCATTTATAAAAAGATAAATCACTTTTCTATAATACATCAATGATATTTCAATGGAATAAATTACTTATTGACGTATTCATACTTCAAAAACAGCATCAATAAGTGATTAACATAGGGGGGATTGAAATAAAATAAATAAATAAATAGTAGTTTTTGTAGTTTTTAGATGTGAATAGTTCTAGACCCATGCAAATTAGTGCCGGAACGCATCAGGGCCTTTTCTGAAAAGATCCTGGTATGCGTTCCAGTATGTTCCGGCTCAAATTAAGCACTGGTGCAGGGTATTACATTGATCATTTTGTCACAGTGCGATGTTCTGCTGGCATACCTTTGGTCCTTGCATTCGTGTGGAGACCACTTGGCATGTTCCACCCACCCAAACACCATGCAGGCCAAGTAAACCCCTCATGGCAATGGCACTCCCCAGTGGGTGCGGGACTGACCCAAGGAACATGACAAAGAGCTCAAGGTGTCAACTTGGCCTTCAAATTTCCCAGACCCCAGTGTGACAGGACTCAGAGGATCTCTGCCAACGCTTTGGTGCCAGATACTACTGGAAATCTGGGAGGTCCTGTGCCCATGCCTTGAGAGGTCAAAGGCCCCACAGTGGATCAGACTTGGCCCTGACCTGTCAAATTTTGGACATAGGACCTCTTTAGTACTGGTGCACCTCATAGATGCTCTATCAGATTAGGATCTGGGGAATTTGGAGGTCAAGTCGATGCTTTGAGCTCTTTGTCAGGTTCCTCAGGCCATTTCTGAGCAGTTTTTGGAGTGTGGCATAGTGCCTTGTCCTGGTGGTGGGCCAATGCTATGCGGGAGTGCCATTGCCATGTCGGGGGAGGAACTTGGAAGCACATGAAGTGGCATTGACATAAATGCCAGGGCCCAAGGTTTTCCAGCAAGAACATCACAGTCTAATGAGATGATCAATGTTATTCACTTTACCCATCTCAGGTTTTAATGTTGGGACTGATCGGTAGTGGAGTATTGATGTCCTGAGCAGAGAGTGAAGTCACACTCCATTTGTGTGTGTTGTAATCCAAGTTTCTCTCTTCTTTGTTGTGGTAGATAATCTGGACACACGTGCATGGGAGTGCTTGTGAGTCCCTTTGTGTGTACTCCACCTGTTAGCTAATTGCCACCATTTCGCATGGCGCTCGTAGGGCACTTACAGCTGATAACGCCCTCCCGACCCACAGTGGCGCAACGGTATTGTGGTGGGTGGAAGTGTAACTACCACCCTTCAGTTAAACCCCCATGTTAGCATTGTTCGCTCTGTCAGCACTGTCACCATTGTTAGCTCTGTTTGGGCTGTTAGCACCATAAGCTGCTAGCCGCTGGCTCAGCCACCTCCATGTTGAGAGCCGTGTGCAGACAATACGAGCTCAGACTCTGCATCATATATATTCTCTGAATGTCGTAAATAGCTCCTTTAATAATATGTAAAAATCAACAACAAATATGAATGAAACATGGAAGATCTTGACAAGTAGACTCATACTACAAAACTGTTTTATGAACTGAGGGGAGTTTTTTGTGTTGTGCATTTTCCTTCAATAAACACAAAATTGACCAAATACCTCCCTACTGAACAAAGATGATCAAATATAAGTGGTAATATTTTACTTACTGCAAAACTCCTCCAACAAGTCAGCGTTGTCTCTGATGAGTTCAGTGATGTTGGCTTTTAACTGGTAATTCATTTTCATAAGACTGGCTTTATCTTCCAGTAACTGGTCCTTTTCTCTTCTCCAGCTGGTTTTGTTTTTATTCACTATTGGAGGGAACAGCAAAACAGCAATGAATAGTCTCATATGTTATCATATTATTACACCAATCATCAACAACATGTGAAGTGCTTGTTTCTTTACAGTTACTGTTACAAACACCAACAGAATTAGGAAAAACTCACTATGGACCCAGAGGCAAATGATCCCGGCCAAGAGGAGAAGACACATCACACCCAGAATCACTAAATCAGCTCTGACATGATTCCTCTTTCCTGAGTTTTCACTGACGACTGACAAATAAATGATCAACATCAAGCTTTTAAAACACATTAAATGAATGAATGTTTAGCCATATCTAATGTTACAAGCTGCAATTAATAAAATACAAGAAAATTAAATTGTTCAGAGTCAACAAAGTCCCACTGCTGTATCACACGACCAAACTACACAGAAAACTAAGACGAAAAGACACCTGCTTGTTGCTCAGGTTAGCGTGTCCGTACCTGGCTGCTGAATCTCTGCTGGTGTATTTGGTGACGTGCCCTCCACCCAGGGGTTGTCATACACTTTCAGGCTTTCTGCACTGACATAGATGTTCACCATACTCTCCCTATCATCCTGACCACAGTAAACTTTGTTAGTGATGCCAGGCTCGGCGTACAGATCCTCCGACATCTTATGGCTAATATAATTTAAAGATTGCTCGCAGTGTTACAAGGTTTGTTTTTAATCTTGATATAACAGCTGTGTCTGTCTTCTCAAAGAGGATAGACATCCACACTGATGTTTAAAAGGGGAAGAGCCACAGAATAAAGGAAGTCATAAGTAATTACCATTTGGGCGTCTGTTCCCTCTAAATTCACCTGATCATCAGTGACCTTAGACATTTGATTTGATGTCCATAACCAGGGATAACAGTCAAGGTTCAGGGACCATTTATTGCTAACTAAAAAGCAACAACACACTAAACCAAATCAGAGACAACTAACAATAGGTGGCCACTCTGTGATTGTGAGGAGGGTGAAAGAAAGGATAAAACCATATAATGGCCATGCATGATGACTTTTTCCCTGTCAAATGCAGATTTAAAACAAGATGTTGGTCTACGGTTTACATTAAATGAAACCATTTCCACATATTCAACTATGTTTCAAAGTTTCTCTTCAGAAGACACATGTGGTGAATGTGGTGGTGTGGTTTCTTGTGCAATACAACACCAACACCATGACTGAAATGAGCACACATTGCCTTAGGGACACATTTAAGCAGAATTTTACACAGATCTGCAACATATTAGACATTACCTCCTGTGCAACTGAAAGAGAAGTCTGACAATACCTGACATTTAGGACAGAAACTGTAAAAATAAATTGAATTCTTATTAATATATAGGAGAAACCAATGGATAATTTTCCAATTTTGACTGGAATCAGTGTGTTTTTGTCTTCAATGTACAGAAATTATTTTTTATAAAGTTTCTTCTCCGCTTGTGTTGCATCAGGCAGAACAGGTGTGTTTATCGCCAAAGATCACCAAAACTGAGTACTCTGACATTTAACACAAATGCACCCACACCAGTGTTTTTACTTAGAGTTGGTGACATCATGTGATTCCCAGCAGAGCTCCACCCAACTTAGACCTGTGCTGTGTCTCAAATCACATACTTCTATCAGTACACTTCCATGTAGTGTACTGTTTGCACTATGTACTTATTGGCGTAGTGCACAAATTTCGACAGGGTAGTGTTGTCTCAAACCAAACACGGCCATTGTGCACTCACCGGAAATGACGACCGCAAATTAGTTAGTTAGCGAACTAGCATTAGCATCGCGTTATCGTCCGTGGCACCAAATCATTACAGACTGCTAAATTAACCCAATAAACCCACTGCTGGCTTATACCCGACAACAATATAGTGGTGCTTAGTGGTCAACTTCTTGACCGTTTTGAGTGCACCATCCGGGTACTCATAGTGCACTGCATTTTTCCATACTTTCCATACACTCCATACTGGGTGTGCAGAGCCTACATGGGGTTGTTGCTCTGTGACTCTGGCGAGCTTAGTTGTGGTTTTGAACAGGTCCATTAAACTAGAGTTTGAAGAGGTTAAAAATGCAGCTGTGTGCTAATACTGGACCTAACTGCTCTGTGAAACAAGCAAAGGTTCAGCTGAACTGCAGGTAAACTGGTCTGAGCCGCCCACAGCAGGTGTGTCGGGGACCAACATCATATGTGTGTCCAGTACCCATAGTACCATACTATTTAGCATGCCAGAAAAAACGAGTATGTCCCATTACATAGTATGTACCAGGATGTCCTACTGCATCTGGTCGCATTTTTCAGTATGCAAGCCAACATGTATTACTGGCTATTCTGACCCACAATCCTTTGTGTTAAAACTACATACATTGCAAAGTAACAACAGCAGAGCTCCAGGTTGACCTCCATCTCTGGCAAGCTCAGGAAATGTTAAGTGATAGCGTAGCATGTCCCAGTTGTATGCATACCACATGCAACAGTACGTACTTTACAAAGGCAGCTGCAGTATGTACTGATAGTAAAAAGAAAAAGTATGTGATTCTGAACGCATTGTGTATCTGTGTTGCTGCACTGTTACTGATTTCATTCTGATCCGCAATGTGGTTTGATGTTTCAACTGTTGTTCTTTTTTGTTGTACAATACTCCCCCTACACAGTGATCTGGTGACTAAATGTATTGTCTGTCTGGAAACCTTATCCCGACATAACATGTCTACTTACACCACCAACACCTCACTGCCATAGAGTGATATTATTCTGAAAATGTCAGTCTAATGTGCATTACATCTTATCTTACTATATAATGACGAAAACTCTGTGTGTCTGTGGGTGTGTCTGTGTGTCTGTTCCACGTTTTTCTCCTCACTGACTTGGTCAATCCATGTGAAATTTGGCACAGTGGTAGAGGGTCATGGGAGGATGCTAATGAAGCAATATTACATCAATTGGCCAAAGGGGGGCGCTATAGCAACCTATTGAAATGGCAAACTTTGAATGGGCATATCTCATGCCCCGTATGTTGTAGAGACCTGAAACTTTGCTCAGAGATGCCTCTCCTCATGAGGAACAAATTTGCCTCAAGAACCCATAACTTCCGGTCATATAGATTTTCCGCCATTTTTAATTTTTTGAAAAACACTTCAAATCGATCTCTTCCTAGGAAGTTTGACCGATCTGCATGAAACTCTGTGAACATAATCTAGGGACCAATATCTTAAGTTCCCTCTTGGCAAAAGTTGGAAAACTTACTAAAACTGAGCTTCTATAAGGCAATGAATATTGCGGAGGGCGTGGCTCATCACATAAAGGTGTATAACATCTCAAGGGTTTCACCGATCACCACGCAACTTTGTAGGCATATGACCACACATAATCTGAGGGGACCCCTCCATTATTGACCCCATCAAACAAAATGGGGGCGCTAGAGAGCTAATTTCTTATCTAGACCCAACAGCCATATCAATTTTTACTAAAGTAAAACAACAGAAAAATGCTAAAAATGGCTAAAATGCGACCGATCGCTGTGGCTCTCCCTGTGGCCGAATGTTTGTTTGTTTTTTCTACTTTTTGGTATGACTAAGTCATGGTATGGTATGCTGTACATAATCACAGAAACTGTCAGTGTGTCATTCTGTCAGTCAGTCATTCTGTCTGTCCCATGTTTTTCTACTTACTGATGTGGTCAATCTATGTGAAACTGCACATAGGCATTGAGGATTGTGTGACGCCCCTCCCAGTGTCTTTGAGAATGTTTCAGCCAGTCTCATCAGAAAGCTGGCTGACATGGGAGGGTCGTTACCATGAGTAGGCTCACCTGGGCTTCCAAGCTATAAAAGCTGCCTAATCTGTTCACTTGGTCTCTCCCTAACTTTCAGCTGACATCCTCTGAGCATCTCTGGTTTTGGTTTGCACCTTCAACACCTCCACAGAACACCTGACACTCACCCATGCATGGCTTTCATGACTGACTTTGCTGATCTACACACTCCATTGATTATTAAGTTAATTTTAGTTTAATAATTTCGGCTTGTTTTAAGTAAATCTTTTGTGTGGACTCCCTTCTTGTCACATCCTCTGAGCCTGTTCGTGACAATTGGCATAGGTAGAAGGTGACAAAGCTACCAATGGGTATGGACTAGTTATCAATAGTCTTCAAATAGTATAGTGGTTCACATATTACTTACACTAACACAGGGTTGGGAATTGATCTGACAATAAATATATTGAACTATTTTCTGTGACCCGCACACACTTTGCAAATTTACCACATCGCTTCCTTGCAGACAAAGCACTTGTGGCAGTGCCTTCTTTAATCTGGTTATAGTGTGTGTCATATAATCAGTAATCCTGTTTCTGGCATCATAAATGAATCGAGCAAGAAGTTACACATTTAACTGTAAGCACACAACTACATAATCAAAGTTTTGATTTCAAATGAAATGTTAAAAGAAATTAGTGAAATGATCAGAGCTTCATGAATCTGTCCTGGTACTGAACTTTACGACCTTAAACCCGAGTTAAATCATGTCTGCAGCAGGTTAAATTAAACCTCAGATACAGTGACCTCTACAGGACAGACTGAACCACACGTGCAGCTTAAAATGCAGGTTCAGAGGACACAGCAATGGGCTTTAAGTGATCATGTGACTAATACCCAAAGAGCACAAACCTTAAACTGCAGCTGAGTTAATGACAGTTGCAGTGTACATTTTTTTCTTTTTTTTTTTAAATTTCATACACAATTACAGCCCCTTTTACAGCTCAGACTTTAAACAGAATATTCTGCCTTCTCTCCCACGCTTTGCAAATAAAATCTGCAACAATAAAGGTTCCCTTTCTAAAACACAACTCAAGGTTCTCATACTCATCCCGCCAAAAGAAATCAGCATAAATAGAGGACATTTTAATAAAAAGTACATCTCTCAAGTCCTCATAAACAAAACAGTAAAACAGAAAATGGACCTCACTCTCAGTTTCACCAAGCTCACACACTTGACAAAGTCTTCCCTCCTCTAGAATGGCATTAAACCTGCCGGTCTCTAAAGCCAAGGGTAATGTTCCTGAACGTAACTGTGCACATAATGATCTTTGTCTTTTGTTTAAATTATACTTCACATACATTTCAACATCATAACAGTTTTTTATGAGACAGTAAGTTCATAATTTTGGTTTATACCATATATCGACAGACCACTTTTCCTTAATCTTGAGAAACATATTATTCTTTAACTTCAGAATATTACAAAGTAACCTGTTATGAAAGATAAATGAAAAATCATTCAAATTGAATAAGGATTTCATCTCGTTAGCCCAGGGATGACCATGTAAAATGTCCCAAATAAAAATCTTTTTAGTGAGTCTCTGATCGGACATCCTTACAAGTCTATTCCACAGTCGAAGCGGAGGTTCCCATCCCATATCTCCACAAATAGCTAAAACTGAAGTTAATTTATGCACTCCTAAAAAAGATTGAATAGCTCTATAGTGCACAGCATTGCAACTTGAATATTCTCGGAAACCCCAAACACCAGAAGCATAATCAGACACAGGACAAACACATGAACTGTAGAGCTGTGTATAAGTATGAAATCCCAGATTACCACAGTATTTAACTTTATTAAGCACAGATCCCAGGGCTCTACCTCCTGACTGAGATAACACACTAACGACATCTCTAAATGTCATGTGCTCATCCAGTGTCATACCAAGATATTTATATTGATCAGTATATGACAGCACTATTGAACCAAGATTAAAAACAACTGGACTTCTAGACAGCGATTTTCGCCTAAAGTGTACTATTTGTGTTTTGTCTTCATTAACCACCAGTCTCCATTTCCAGCACCATTCCACCACAATGTTCAGCATAAACTGCAGATCTTTTTCGTGTTTCGCCATTAAAACTACGTCATCCGCATATAATAATATTCCTACAGTCTGAGTTTCAACTTTAGCTCCCAAATTACATGCTTTAACTTGAAGAGCTAAATCATTTACATAAATGGAGAACAATGTCGGAGACAAAACATCTCCCTGCTTCACACCAAATTTTTGAGGAAACCATCCAGTTGTATATTCATTAACCTGAACACAGGCAACAGGTGCTTGAGAGACTTGATGGCATAATAAAACTTTCCATTAACACCAGAATTTAACAACCTCTACTGAAGAAGTTCCCTATTAATCCAGTCCTTTTTAAAATCAATTAAGCAAACATAAGTGGACTTATTCAACTTAATTCTTGCACGTATAATGGAAGTTACTGCATATATATGATCAGTACATGCTCTGGATTGTCTAAATCCGTTTTGTTCATCCACAAGCAAACCTGTCCTCTCAAGATGGTCTACAAGTCTGTTATTTAAAAGTGAAGAGTACAATTTATAGACACAGCTAATAGGGCTTATTCCCCTGTAGCTGAGTGGCAGTTTGGGATCATTTTTTGAAGATTTCAGAATAGGTATATTAACAGTCTTGTGCCACTGTGTCAGGATAATGCCACTGTCAAAACAGGACTGAAATAACTCATATAACACATAAAACAATCTCGGCGACTTCAACATTTCATTCGAAATTTCATCAATTCCAGAGGCTTTTTTCCATTTGCATTTATCCACAACATTTTTACCTCAACAGAAAAATTTGCATTCAAAAACGAGTTACAATTACTTACATCAACTCTCATTTCCGTTTCCATAACCTCATTTATACTAGTTACTTCACTAAAAAAAGTATCATCAAAAGAACTTTTGCAACCACAAAATAAATCTGTGAAGTCTTTTTCCCACTTTTATAATACTACTCCTAAAACAGAACTATATTCACCATTCTCGAGTTTAACCTCCATAGGTATTTCCCTAGACTTTCTGGGACCCAATCTATTGATTTCATTCCAGAACTTTTGGGGGTTATGGGTTTGTAAATAATCAATATCATAATTTATCAAAATTAGTTTGGCTTTTCTTAAATTCTATCTTCAGCCCTTCCCTCAGATTTTTGTTTTTGCATCTTAGAAATCTTTTTTCTGCTCAACTGTGGGAAAAAATCAACTGATAATAAATGTGGGAAATAACCTTTTTATTATTGTTATTATCAAGGTAGGGACCAATATATTAGTCTAAGCTTTATAGCTCTGGCTTTATGTGTCAGTGCAGGTATTCTGTAAGTATTTCATTAGCATTTAAACCAGACTGACACTGTAATTTGCAGACTGTAACTTAAAGTGTTACCAAAAAGGTCTATACACACCATAATGCCCCTGTTAGGTAAAAAGAAAATAACCTGTTTTATTACCCACTAACAAATCTATATTTTTACAGCCTTGTGACCCAAATCAAGATTCTGTACACACATTTATCACTAAACATTTAATTGAGCCATATTCTTTATTGACAATATCTTACCATGAATTGCAATTTCAAATTATAGAAGATGTATATCGGCATTCTATGTATCTCATTATCTGCTGTCAGTCCTGTTACTCCATTAAAGTACCATCTGGTCAGTCTTGTTTGCCATAATAATATCATAATATGTACGAAAACAATCAGTCATACAATTAATAGGGTCATCCAAGATGAATGTATTTATTTAGAGATTGTTTTTTTGTTTTTCACATCACAGACACATGATGAATTATTATAACTTTTCTCTAGTATATGAGTTCAGAACTTTATTCATACATATGAAATACAGCACAGAGATGATCTCCTTTGCCCTCAGAGGAGGAGAATATACAATATGTTACAGATATTTTACATGTGTAGGAGTAATACAGATGTTGAATCAGTCCATGAGGGTACCATGATACTGTGACTTTATTTAAGTGTTTTTTCACAGGTAAAGTATAATTCTGTATGGCATGGCAAGTCATTCCAGTTATTTAGATGCGGATACATGTTTGAAATCTGAGCACAGTCTTCATTTTCACCATCATTATCTGGTTGTCCGCTTTTCCAGTACCTACAGCAAATCACAAACTCCTCAGTCATGAATTTAGAACAATAAAATATTAGAAATAATTAATGTTGACATATGTGAACTGTACTTTCAAAGAATGATATCATGAGGCCCCAATACAGAACATTAAATATAAACAAACACAGAAAGCAGGTGTTTCATTTGAGAGTCGGGTCTTGGATGCTCAATACCAAACAATTTCACTTGCATGCACACCAGTTCTTCACTGTCAACATATAAAGCACTCATCATCATCATCCTTTTATTCAAATCCTGAGCTGATTTTTTTCTCCAGAGCCACAGTGCTCGGGGCCCTGAGCTTTACTGTAAAGTGTTGATTGTCCACTCAGTTGATTAAGCAGCCACAGGTTTGTTTCTCTGTTCTGACACACAGTTTGAAGGTAGCACAGTGACAGTAAATAAATAAGGAATTGGATAATGACTTACTTGGTGGTAGCTGTTGTTCCATTTACCCACTTCCATTCTCCTTCAGGCTCCTTATCAGTCAGACCAATCCAGCTATTCCGGGTAAAAAAGCTGATAAATTCCTAAATGTCAAAGATGATAATCAGTTATATATTATTATTTGTTCATTCCAAATAAACACCTATTTAAAGAGCCTCCCCTTTTTGAAAGCCACAGAAAATCTAAGGTGTGAATGATAAAATCTGTGATGGCTGAATTCCATTTAGTTGCTTCAGTTTCAGGGTCCTGGTATATGTTGGCTCACTGTCACACTGTCATGACTCACTGGGACACTTGAATAGAACAGAGCCATTGTTAATGTTATTAATGACACCTGTGCTTTTCCCTGTATGCCACGTTTAAATGCTGTGAAAAAGGCCACCTGTATACTGTGATGATGCAGGTGGAAGAATGATAAGCAGAATGAGCTTTCTCTATCACAGCTTTCACATGTTTGAATACATCATTTCCCTTTTATCTGTGTTTGTTTCTCTCTTACAGTGATAATGTGTAGTCACTTCTGCAGCTTTGCAGAAGTCGCTGTAGACTTCCTCTTCCCTTTTTAGTACATTTCAGGAAGAGTGAACCTGCTTTGCCGCACTAACTGCTTTTTTCCCCATTTCCACCTTTTTAAAAGGACAAATGCCTGTTTTTTTCTGGCTCATTCAAAATCACAATAACTGAATATTGATTCATTTTTGATCAGCGCTGCCTAGATGACATCTCGACCGCAGTTCACTTGCAGTGATTGACACAACAGCTACGTAAAAGACTCCTCGGCTGTGATTGGTTGTTTTTTTTTTCAGCTGTGGTAGATTCTAGCAAAATGGATTTAGAAGCACTGTCTTGTGTAATAGGCTAAGACAAAAAGTTATTTTCATAAACACTGACACATTGAAGTCCTAATATTAAACTTAAGAATTTGGGGAGGGGAGCAGGTTTTGTATTTTGCTATGTACAACAAGAGTATGTAGTCTGGGGATAATAAAATAAGAGAACTCAATCAACAACTTTTTAGATTTTTAAATCTGACCCACCTGTTCCTCTTCATTAGATATGATCACCAGCCATGCACCATGAGTTTCACAGGCTTTACTGCTGTCAGTCCAGCTCTTCTTTTCTTTGGACATTAAATAACAGCTATTGCCAAACGTTATCCAATCGGCAGGATATGTTGTCTCTGTTTAACAACACAAAATGATATTCCTTCAGACATAACACTGGTGACACTATGTCAAAAGACAAAACACAATACAGACCATGAGTCCGAAATCCCACTTATGGCTTTTTACGTGCTGTATGAAAACCTTGTTGAAGGAGTAGTTTGCTATTTTGGGAAATATGATAAGTCACTTTAATTCCGAGAGTTAGATGAGTAGGTTATGACACTCCATGTGTCCACACTGTAAATCTGAAGCTACAGTCAGCAGCTGGTTAGCTTATCGTAGCACAAAGACTGGAAACAGGGGGACATAGCTAGCCGTGCTCTGTGCACAGGTATCAAAATCCACCTATCAACACTGCTAAAGCTCTCTAAGTCAGTGGTACTTAACTGGTGGGTTGCGGGCAAAAGTGGGTGCATGGGTCTATTCTGAATGGACCGCAAGTGATTCACAAACATGTCAAGTTTGTGGGAAAAAAAACCCCTAAAAAACACTTAAACGTTTAGTGAATTTGTGGCACAAAGCTATTATTTTTGAAGTGCCGTTTCCTGCTGTAGAGTGAGTGACTAACGGACAGCTTGTTGACAGAGATTGCAAACTAGCTCGACACCATGGCCAAACACAAGTATGATGCTGAATATATTAAACTGTGTGATCCTTGATAATGACGAAGGAGAATTCTAGACCCCGTGGCTGGACTAGTTGGGAACCAGTGCTTATTTGTTTTCGTCATACAAAACTCAAAGTGTAAAAATGATAAGATCCATTTTAGGGGAGTTACAGCATATTTATTTCTTGGCAAGGACCAGTAACGTACTGGAGTCTAAACTGCTCCCAGTCAAGAAACAGTGTGTTAGATAACATGCCAATTTTAGTTTTTAATTTTTTCCATAAATCAAACAAATGCTGTAGAACTTTTTAATTAGTGAGCTTTAGCTTTACTGTCAGGCAGACTATTATTAATCTTTGGACTGAGTCAGGCGAGCTGTTTCCCTGTTTCCATTTTTTGTGCTAACTGGCTGCTATATATTTATCCAGGGGCACAGGTTTGTACACGTGTTCTAAATATTGAGGGGGACATGTCCCCTGTGTCCCCTCCAAAATCTTCCCCTATATTTATCGTCTATAGGCTACGTGAGATTGGTATCGATCCTCTTCTCTAATTCTTGGCAAAAAAGTGCATTTCCAAAACATCAAACTATGCCTTTGATTCAAAATAATTATTCATATTTTTACTCACCAATCTGTTTTTGTAATTCATCTACAGTTTTGGTGAGGTTGTTGTTCTCGTTCTCTAACTGTCTTGTCTTTTGGGTCAGATTGTGATTGAGGATTTTCACTTCGCTGTAACTCTTCTGCAGTTTGTCTCTCTCGCTGGCCAGGCTGGCATTGTCCCTCCACAGACGATTCCTCTCCAGAATAACTGCCACAGAAAGGGTCCAACATGTGAAAGGCTTAAAGATCCATTACATCACTTAACATACAGGTCTTGCACCACAACCACTGGTTGGAATAGATGAATTTGGAAAACTTACATATGACCACCAGGGCAATGACTGCCACCAGGAGGAGAAGACACAGTGGCCCCAGAAACACTGCAGCGGCTCCGGGAATACTTCTCTTTTCTGGACTCACATTGACTGAAGTGGCTGTGGACACAAATAAAATGAATGAATGAATTTAATCATTAACTATGTTGTAAAATTCTGCTTCATTAAAAGTTAACAGTTATTTTTACACACATTTAGAAAAAGGCCAGGGCCTCATAGCTTAACTTTTGATTAAAAACTCATCTATTTAATCTTACAGTAAATTCTAGACAGGCAGACAAACACAGACAGATACTTTGCGGTTGATTCTCAGTAGTGTTGTCCTGTGATTTGTCCGGCGTCGTCCTCTCCTCTGCCCAGCAGTTGTCATAAATCCTCACAGTATCAACGTTATCACAGACGTCTGTTTGTCTGTCGTCCTTCTCACCTGTCTGAAATCTAACTTTTTTGGTGAGGTCTGGCTTGGCATAGATATCCTCAGCCATATTTTCTCACTTCATCTAAGTCAACTCAGATGTAATCCTTTCTGATTAGACCAGTCCCACAGAATTTTTGCATTTATATCACTGTAAAGGTCACTTACTGTACATATCTCTTGGGTGGGCCACAAGGGTTTTATTAAAGGGAAGGAAATAGAGGAAGTAAACGTGGAAGAGGAGGAGATGCAAAGCTCTAAGCCATTATTACACTCCATCATTATTGTTAATTATTTTTTAAATAAACCCTATTATTAACTCTATGTCCAACTTCTTAAAATTGTGGTAGTGGATTTTTTAACTGTAAAGGCTGAAGCACACCTTCAGTTTCTTGTAGACAGATTCATAGGAGGAAATATCTATAGGCAAAAGAAGAGAGAAGTCCTGCACACTGTTCTTTACCTCACAATAAACTTTACCGGAGATCTACTATAAAGTTTATTGCAGATAAAATGGCAGTGTGTGGGACTTCTCTGTTCTTTTGCCCAGGGTAGTGGATTTTTTTAAAAGTCAGTATCCATCTTGTCTTCTTGTGTAAATATTCATTCATTTCAGGCAGTGATGAATTAAAGGGACAGTTCACCCCAAATTTTAAAAATATATATTTTTCTTTTTAACTGTAGTGCCATTTATCAGTCTAGATTGTTTTAGTGTGAGTTACAGAGTGTTGGATATATCAGCCATAGAGATGTCTGCCTTCTCTCAAATATAATTGAACCAGATGGCACTCTGCATGTGGTGCTCAAAGCACTGAAAGAATACATTTGAAAAATTCAACAGCAACGTCTCTTTACAGAAATCATGACCCAGTTACACAAGATAATCCACAGACCTTGTGAGCAGTTTCATACAGGAACAATTTTCTTTCAACCTGAACTACACCTTCCATCCGCATCACCACACAGAAAGAAGCGTCACTGGCTTCCTCCTCAGCTGAGCTGTAACATTTGCAAGCTCAGTCTAGGTTGAAGTAGCTGTGTAGGTGAGAGAATGAAATATATTTGTTTTTTGGGTGAACTGTCCCTTTAAGTTTTCAGGGATTTTGCAACATAGCTTGAAACCAAATGGAAAGCATCATCATGCAGCTGCAAGGCCAAACAGGTAAAGGTGGTCACCTAAAATAATTTACCCCAGCAGCCCTCAGTTTCCTGTTTCACATGAAGATATTGCCATCTGTGTTACTATGTTTGTTGCTTCGTATGAGAACAGCTCAGAACATCATTTGTCATTTCAGAGGCACATGCTCAAGACATCAGGACTTTGATGACCAAACTGCAGTCAATACAGCTGAACATCAAGGATCAACTGATGGATGTCTATATCAATGAAGAGGGACCATCAGGTTATCCTCACAAAAGGAAGAGTTTGGAAAACAGTACAGAAAGTATTTATCAAAAT